ATAATCCTGATCTGCTGCACCACCCCGCAGTGGAAGCGATTGCCAGCATGGAAGCACCCCGCCCGAGCCGCAGCGGTAGCTCACCGCCCGCGCCGCCGCTGCCTCTGGTCCAGCAGCGGGACAGCTGCCTGACCTGAGGTCAAGCAGACAGCAGGCAACGGCAGGTGTCAGGGATTGAGAGGCGGGCGTGGCGAGAGTGTGAACACCGCGATCTGACGCCTGCCGTTGTTTATTTGGGTGGACTCAGATTTGCATCCAGGTCAGCCTAGCTGCTTAGAGGCTGGAGTTAGGGAGGGACCGCGGTAGAATGTGTGGACCCATGTGCTTGCCAAGACGAAACACTTTCATGATGTTTCGTTAAATTGCGACGCAGCTACTTTATGGCTTTAGTCGAACCATCGCTGTACGTGTTGTTTTTGACCACCCCGCTTTCTAGACATATCCCAACGAAACGAATCAACATATCGAGTCTTGATTGTATATCCCTATGTGAGTGGGTGGTTTGATGTTAAATTCAGATCCTACGTGTCATTTTTGTACGAGTTGACAGCAAGGAACATACCGTGCGAACAACTTCACATCTAATGTGATTACCGGGTTCACTGGAGGTCGAGCTGCGGACGTGTCATCAGTGCGTGAAGTGAACGGTTTTATATATTTGTCAGAGTAACACGTGGGGTTTCCGCGAGTGACGTTAGCCACGGATGACTTAAAGCCACGCTGAGAGGACGGAAATGCACGAGTGCATCGGCTGGTATCCCTGGTCCTGTAATTTCAGCGCGTCATTAGCACCGTCAGCCAAGACTACACGACTTGTTCGACGGCATTACCAAGCGTGTCGCACTGTCTTTGGCGAGTGTGGAGGGACAGTCTGTGGCGAGTGTGAAAACGCAGTCTGTGGCGAGTGTAAAAGCACAGCATGTGGCGAGTGTAAAAGCACAGTCTGTGGCGAGTGTTGAGTGGGCGGCAGACCCACGAACCGGTCGTAAACCTTTTAAGGCTGGCCAACGCTGGCGGAGGGGGGTGGGGGCAGATATGTTATTTGTTGCGGAGAGATCTTACCATACGTTTGTTGGGTATGGTGTATGGTGACAGAGAAACGTTGTGTGAACAGTGACTGATGGGTGGGCAGTGATGAGCAGATAGACTAACTAGACACCCTGCGAAAAAAATCGGGACTTCAAGCTACGTGGCGCCATCGGGAATGGTACTCGTTGCTAAGTCGTTTGATTTATTGGACAACTGTTACCTGTTTGTGCGTGCGATAGTTACCTGTTGATGAACTACGTCTGACCAGTTGAACGTCGAAATATTGTTTACCTGTTCGGTAGCATATATTATGTTTTAGCGTTGTTGGTTGATAGTGCGCGTGACGTTCCTGGTTTTGACACTCAGCTGTGCAAAACCGCTAGCAAGCCGCTTAGAGGCTTAGAGAATGCGTGCCTCATCGATGTAATGCATGACCAACCGACCGTGCTCCATCCAACAAGCAGACCCCCACGACATGCTGCGTTTATGTGCATGATGATGAGAATCCGGCTGATGCACACACAAACTGCGTGCCTCATGGCAAAGCACAATTACTTGTGATTGTATTACCTCGGTAACCACTGTACACTTGGCCAAACAGAGGTGATTGTATCCAGAACCCGATCGAAGCCGAGCAGAGGAAAGAAAGCACGCGAAATCCAAAAACAGACCACACTTCTGGGCGCATTCAACGCGAAGCTTGCGCCGATGCGCATTGCGATGACGTAGAGTCACGAACAAGGCCCACTATCGAAGGCCAGCACTGAATCTACCACTTTTACAACATCAGAAGACAACGCGACGGAAAGCACCAAGACTATCGCATTTTTTCAGTGCACGACACCAAACTGTGGACTGTTCTCCTGAAACTGATGGCGTGTACCGCATTGCAGGATATCCGATCGTAGCCCTGCAGTGTTTCTGCGCTCTGGTATGCCATTCTCATTCAGGAGTCACCTCACCAGTGCGGTCAGTTCGCAGTTCGCGGTGCAGTTCGCGCTCTCTTAAACTAAAACCAGGCGTTAATGACAACAAATACCGGAAGTCATGCCTTCGGCCACAGGGGCAATCGAACGTTTTGCTGCCAACTGGGCCCAAAAGTGACCTTGAGTATATTTTTAAAACATTCTGCTTTTTCAGTAGCTTGTCTAATGTTTCCAGCATACGGACCTTGCTATTCAAACATTCACCGGATCCAAATATCCGTCGAATATTCGTGTGACCCGAATTCAAATGTTCCGCTCTTATTTACGGATTTCACTTGGCTTCCAGCAGCAGACATCTGCCAAGTGTCACAATTGGTGAACTTTAAACATGTCAATCTGTGTGTATTTTTGTGAACGTTCGACTCCACCGAACAGGCAGACACAAATTAGTTCAATCCAGCGCAGTCCGTCGCAGCCTCACGTTCATCACACCAAGACGGTCCCATTCGGGGCTGTAATGTCTTGCTGGCGGTAGGCTCCACAACGACCTCACCGCTCATCTTCTAGCGCTTTTAAATATTTGTTGATCAATATCTGCAGTGAGCGTAACGTGGCCACCTGATCCGACTGGTGGGAGCCGTATGTTTTCGTGGTCTGACCTCGCCGCGCCATCAGCGGGGCGTGTGTTTGCCCTGCAGGTGGTTTGCGCGTCTCATTACACCGAGTGTTGTTATTTTCGGCCGAAGTCGTCTGGTTTCCATCTGGTGTCCTCTGTGCCTTATGACAGGTTTTATTTTTGTCGCAGACTTCATGCGTCGAGCAATTTCTAATGCTGGTCAGTCCTGGGCTGCCAGTTTTGTTCCGTTTGTCCCCATCCGCATTTATGGATTCTGCGGCTTCTGTTTCTTCCGCGTCAGTAGTGTCGGGTTCCGTTTCCACAGCATCGGCCGGATCAGCTTCTGCATCAGATGTCGGTTCTTCGGTTGGATCCGGTTCCGATGTTTGTGGTTCTGTTTCTGCTTCAGGAGGGTAATCAGGTTCAGGTTCTGTTTCAAGAGGGTAATCAGGTTCAGGTTCTGCTTCAGGAGGGTAATAAGGTTCAGGCGCTGCCGGGGATGGGTCATCGCCACCGGAGTTCCCTCCGAAGCCGAAGCTGAAGGTGATCGGACTTCCTCCGCCATTTCCTTGCGGCTCTTCATCTTGGCCTGCCGGAAAACTTGATGCTCTTTTGCCATTTACACCTGGAATATGTTTGGACCCTTTTCCGTCGCCTTTGTTTTTACCCCTCTGAACCTTAGAACTTGGAAACAGTCCTTTCAAGAATTTCTTAACTCTGCCGAAAATGCTAGTTTTAGGCTTTCCTTTCGCCTCTTTTTTATTGCCGACCCGTGGCGCCTTCTGTTTGTTTTTTATTCCGTTGCCAACGCTTGATTTTGACTGTGCTGTCTTTTTGGAAGGGGATCGCCCCAGACCAGCAAAGAATTTTTTGATCCTTTGAGCAACCCTAGCTAGTACGCTCTTCTTCTTCTTCGGTTTTCCTTTCGTTCTGCCCTTTCTATTTTGTTTTGTTCGATTAGTTTGTGGTGACCCTATTTCTCCGACCCCTTTTTTGCTTCAGTCTTCGCTGACGCTTGGATGGATTTCGTTTTTTGCTCTTGCGCCCATTTCGTCGTTTACCGCTCCGACCTTTTTGTTTTGTACTCTTACGTCGGGGCGTTTGGGCTTCCGTCGAGGGCGTTTGGGCTTACGTTGAGGGCGTTTGGGCTTACGTTGAGGGCGTTTAGGTCTACGTCTAGGGCGTTTAGGTCTGCGTCGGGGGCGTTTAGGTCTACGTCTAGGGCGCTTAGGCTTACGTCGAGGGCGTTTGGGCCTACGTCGAGGGCGTTTGGGCTTCCGTCGAGGGCGTTTGGGCTTACGTCGAGGACGTTTGGGCCTACGTCGAGGGCGTTTAGGTTTACGTCGAGGGCGTTTAGGTCTACGTCTAGGGCGCTTAGGCTTACGTCGAGGACGTTTGGGCCTACGTCGAGGGCGTTTGGGGTCTACGTCGAGGGTGTTTAGGCCTACGTCGAGGGCGTTTAGGTCTACGTCGAGGGCGTTTAGGTCTACGTCGAGGGGCGTTTGGGCCTACGTCGAGGGCGTTTGGGTCTACGCCGAGGGCGTCTGGGCTTACGTCGAGGGCGTCTGGGCTTACGTCGAGGGCGTTTGGGCCTACGTCGAGGGCGTTTGGGCCTACGGCGAGGGCGTTTGGGCTTACGTCGAGGGCGTCTGGGCCTGCGTCGAGGGCGTTTAGGCCTACGTAGAGGGCGTTTGGGCCTACGTCGAGGGCGTTTAGGTCTACGTCGAGGCGTTTAGGTCTACGTCTAGGGCGTTTGGGCCTACGTCGAGGACGCCTGGGCCTACGTCGGGGGCGTTTGGGCCTACGTCGAGGGCGTTTGGGCCTACGTCGAGGGCGTTTAGGTCTACGTCTAGGGTGCTTAGGTCTACGTCTAGGGCGCTTAGGCTTACGTCGAGGGCGTCTGGGCCTACGTCGAGGGCGTTTAGGGTCTACGTCGAGGGCGTCTGGGCCTACGTCGAGGGCGTCTGGGCCTACGTCGAGGACGTCTAGGTTTACGTCGAGGGCGTTTGGGCCTACGTCGAGGACGTCTGGGCCTACGTCGAGGGCGTTTGGGCCTACGTCGAGGGCGTTTAGGTCTACGTCGAGGGCGTTTGGGCCTACGTCGACGTCGAGGCCTGTGTCGCTGGCGCCTGGGCCTGTGTCGATGGCGCCGGGGCCTATGTCGATGGCGCCTGGGTCTGTGTCGTCTGCGTCTGGGCCTATGTCTTCGACGTCTGGGCCTATGTCTTCGACGTCTGTGACGACGTCTCGGTGATGCACTTCGGCGATATCGTCGTAGAAGCTTCTCCGTGGGAAGGGCTTGTAGAAATGGATTCACGTTAGCATGGCTGTACTGAGCGGTTGGGTGCAGCTCTTGCGGAGAATTTGTCTTGAAAAGAGATGACAAAATGACGGCGTTGTCTGATGTGAAGCTTGGATTTGAAATGAGAATTGCTTGTTCCGGATAAAAGACGGCTACCAGTACAACCAGCCAGATGGACTTGCTGAAGGACATGATGGCATCTGAAATGGGTGAGAAGATATTGAGACGTTGGATATGGACAATACACAATACTGGAACGTTTCGAACATGTCATGGATTCAACGAGTACAGCTAGCTGTAGATGCTAAATGCATAGTTACAACTAGCAGAGCGTGCAGTTGGTCACAGCCTGACGCTCATCACACAAAACGGTTTCTTTTGAGGCTGCAATGTCTTGCTGGCGGTAAGCTTCACAACGATCTTACTGCTCATATCCGAGCTCTTTTAAGTATTTGTTGATCAATATCTGCAGTGACCGTATCATGGCCGCCTGATCTGATTGACGGGAGCCGTTTGTTTTCGTGGTCTGATCTCGCCGCGCCATCAGCGGAGCGTGTGTTTGCCCTGCAGGTGGTTTGCGCGTCTCATTACACCGAGTGATGTTATTTTCGGCCAAAGTCGTCTGGTTTCCATCTGGTGTCCTGTTTGCCTCATGACAGGTTTTAATTTTGTCGCAGACTTTATGCGTCGAGCAATTTCTAATGCTGGTCAGTCCTGCGCTGCCAGTTTTGTTCCGTTTGTCTCCATCTGCATTCGTGGATTCAGCGGCTTCTGTTTCTTCGGCGTCAGTACTGTCGGGTTCCGTTTCCACGGCATCGGCCGGATCAGCTTCTGCATCAGATGTCGGTTCTTCGGTTGCATCCGGTTCCGATGTTTGTGGTTCTGTTTCTGCTTCAGGAGTGTAATAAGGTTCAGGCTCTGCCGCAGGAGGGTAGTTGGGTTCAGGCGCTGCCGGGGATGGGTCATCGCCACCGGGGTTTCCTCCGAAGTTGAAGCTGAAGGTGATCGGACTTCCTCCGCCATTTCCTTCCGGTTCTTCGTCTTGGTCTGCCGGAAAACTTGATGTTCTTTTGCCATTTAGACCTGGGATATTTTTTGACCTTCCGTCGTCTTTGTTTTTACCCCTCTGAACCATAGAATTTCGAAACAGTCTTTTCAAGAATTTCTGAACTCTGCCTAAAATGCTAGTTTCAGGTAGTCCTTTCGCCCCTTTTTTATTGTCGCCCTGTGGTGCCTTCTGTTTGTTTTTTGTTCTATTGCCAACGCTGGGCTTTGACTGTGCTGTCTTTTTGGAAGGGGATCGCTTCAGATCAGCGAAGAATGTTTTGATCCTTTGGGCGGCCCTAGCTAGTACGCCCCTCGTATTTTTCTGTCTCCGTCCCGTTATACCTTTTCTATTTTGTTTTGTTTGATTAGTTTGTCGTAGCCTATTTCTCCGACCCCTTTTTTGCCTCAGTCTTCGCCGACGCTTGGATGAATTTCGTTTTTTGCTCTTGCGTCCATTTCGTCGTATACTGTTCCGACCTTTGTGTTTTCTACCCTTGCGTCGAGGGGGGGTGGGCTTACGTCGAGGGCGTCTAGGCTTACGTCGAGGACGTCTGTGCTTATGTCGAGGGCGTTTGGGCCTACGTCGAGGGTGTTTGGGTTTACGTCGAGGGCGCTTGGATCTACGTCGAGATCGTTTGGGCTTACGTCGACCGCGGTTGGGCCTACGTCGGGGGCGTTTGGGCCTACGTCGAGGGCGTTTGGGCCTACGTCGAGGGCGCCTGGGCCTGCATCGATGACGTCTGGGCCTCGATCGATGGCGTCTGGGCTTGTGTCGATGGCGCCTGGGCCTGTGTCGAGGGCGCCTGGGCCTATGTCGATGACGTCTAGGCCTCGGTCGATAGAGTCTGGGCCTGTGTCGCTGGCGCCTGGGCCTGTGCCGATGGCGCCTGGACCTGTGTCTACGGCGCCTCGGCCTATGTCGTCTACGTCTGGGCCTATATCTTCGACGTCTGGGCCTATGTCTTCGACGTCTGCGACGATGTCTGGGTGATGCACTTCGGCGATATCGTCGTAGAAGCTTCTCCGTGGGAAGGGCTCGTATACATGGACTCACGTTAGCACAGCTGTACTGAGCGGTTGTATACCGGTCTTGCGGAGAGATTGTCTTGAAAAGGGATGACAAAATAACGGTGTCGTCTAGTGTGGGGCTTGGATTTGAAGTGAGAATTGTTTGTTCCGGATAAAAGACGACAAGCAGCACAACGAGCCCGATGAACATGCTGAGGGGCATGGTGGCATCTGAAATGGGTGGGAAGATATTGAGACGTTGGATATGGGCACCGCACAATGCTGGGACGTGTCGAACACGTCATGAACTCAACGAGTACAACTGGCATGTAGAAATATTAATTGCCGACAATCTTCCCGTTTCTGCCCGACACAGTACTTTTAGTGGCAGTGTACGCAAATGAACATACCTAGATGCATAGCACATTGCGCGATCGACGTAAAAACAGCATATCTGTCAGCCACATGCATGCAGTGAGAATGCAATGCCTTCTGTGTTCTGTTCTGCGTATCTGCGTCAATAGACGGTGCTCAGTGGTGCAAGGTGCTCATCAGCCCATCATGGTCGGTCAGCGCCGGGTCTCGCCAAGGGGCTGGTCATACAACGTCGGGGGCATCCGAGACTGTCCCGTAAGGGTAACATATGTCCCCCTCCCTGCGGCGATAGCGTATAGAACCTCTCGGGCAAATGGGAAGAATCCGGGAGGGATCTTGGTCGGTCAAGAATGAATCGGCGGGTATGCCAGTTCGTTCCTGACCGATTCAAGCTGACCGGTTTAAGAGTGAACATGTATATAGGGCCCCGGCAAGTGTTCTTAGGATCCTTAGCGTTCAGAGTGCCCCGGCAAGTGCACATAAAGGGTTCGCGGCGGCAGTGTATAGCCCCTGGACAACGTAACGGGCCCTAAAGCCTACCCAGGCTGCACCCTCTGAGTCAGCGAAAAATTATTTTTGTCTACTTAAAGGTCCTTTCTTTTCACTTGTGGTCATTTCTAGTCGCCAGCAGACCCAAAGACGTCAGTTTTTTGCGTTTTGTGCTAAAAACTGCGACCGTCCAGTCAGCCATGCCTACCCAACACCGGCTAGAGCCCCAAAGGGGGGGGGGGGCATGCCCCCGCCCGCCAGCTTGCCCTCTAATTCCGTCACTGATGGTCGCGGCAGCAGCCTATTTTTCCGTTCTGGCATACCTCAGATGAGCCTAAGTATGTCACACTTCGTGAGGCTCCGGTATATAGTGCACTACGTCAGCTGCCACGATTTGCAATTGACCTTTCGCTGCCGGCGATTCAACTATTGTGGCCGGCCGGGGGACAGCTGCAGGTAAAGGGCATATGCCTTGCCTGCTTATGCAAATGAGGTGCATGAAGGCGACGCAGCTCTGTTTTTTATCGTTGCATGTCAGTAGAAAATTTTGTAAATGTATCATGTAAATTCACGGATGCCAATATGAAGTGAACGGTGTTCTTTTGCGTGGAAAAACCTTCTTTTTGTAACCAAGGCACGTTACGAGTAATATTCCTGCAACGTTATATTTGTATAATGATTTGCTAAAAAAATCAACTTCTTATGATGAAAGAGAAGAATCGGAACTTACAGGAAATTCAATGGCGTTTAACAGACGTCTATATTTTCTCTTTTTCAGTATACCTAGGTGTAATAATGGACACCATTATCCAATATTCCCAGCTACAATGTCAGTGCCAGCACAGCTGGGAGGGTACTGTCAGGTGTTGGGTCAGTTGTAGGGGGCGCTACGATCGGTGAAGAAACAGCCAGGCTGGAAGAGTCCGTGAGCTATCAAGGGAGTTTTGGTAGCAAGTTTTACATTCTCAAACTGCCCGACAACTCACATTCATGAAAACATACATCCACATTTCTGCCTCCAAAAACAAGTATTGAGCCAAACACAAACTCTGCCAGCAGTGAGTTAGCATTTTACACTTTTACAAGCCTAGCCAGAAGGCCAGCTGATTTGAGGCGTCCAGCACCCCACTCAGCCGTGACTACATGGAACTGGGCTGGCATTTCACCTCGGACCCGGCTGGCTTCGGCCACGCTTACCTTACGTTGGTGGATGCGGCGGCGCCGACACAGCGGCGCAGACGGCGCCGAGCCTTTATCGGTTATGGCGCTGTGACGCCTGTCGTGTGGGCGCCCCCTCCCCCGTGAAGTGGCACCTGTTGTTGACATATAAAGTTCATCTCCGCGTAAAGGGCGTCTTTCGCCGAAGCACGACAGTGATGCGGGGATGAGTATGGGGTGGCATGGGTCACACCCAGGTCATGGCGTAGGAATAGGGGGACCACACCCCTCCCCCTTTTCAAGGTGGGGACCAGCAACGTTAACTGCCCCTCCCCCCCCCCCCCACTCGCACACATACAAATACACTTTTTTTAGATCTAAGTAGTACTTAACGTGTTTTTATACTGCCTTAAATATGCATGCCGATTTACCTAGTTCACCAGCCATCTTTCTCAAACCGCACTGGACGCAATTGATTCATGCGATAAATGGCAGCATCTCATCTTACCATGTACGGCAAACGGAAATATTTATGGGCAACTTCTAAGCTTTTCTAGTACCGGAGGCTCCATTCTGTCGTTTTACCTAACCTTGGCTCCTATGCATGCCTCCTTACAGTCCACTCAGCGTAGATTCATGGAGTTAAAGATTAATATGTCACAGACGTGCTAAACAGCGTGTGCGATGCGCTAATATAGATGACACGATGCGGCGTCCTGTGATAACAAGCAGATTGTGGCAAATGGTGAAAATTGCTTGCCAACAAACGTCCGTTCCAATAGTTCAGTTGGTTAGAGCACATGCCCTCCGATCCACCCACTTGTGGCGGGATGGTTTCGAATCATTTCAGGCGCTTGCTATTTGGCTACTAGCAGACATGGCCTGTCGCCGGTGGCAGCGGTCGCCCTAAAGGTTAGGAGATGTCAAAGGGCAAGAACGGGCCGTGCCGAGCGTCGCGGCAAGCCAACATTTTGCCACTGAATTCTGCGACGGACCTGGATTAGCGCGATCGGATGGTAGAGGTCAGGGCTCACACAACAAGCACTGCTTAGCGTGAGCTCCGTTCCCAGAAGCTCGTCCTTTTAAAAGGCTCAAATCAGGATAGTTGTTAAACACCTCTACTATGCGCTTTTCGTCAGACAATTTTGCCTGCAACCATACAGTGTAACATTTTATGCGCAATCATAGGCAATGACGCGGTCACCTCGAACAGCCGTGCCTCCCGCCAATGGGCACCTACCAGGTCAAGCAATCGGCCACCTCAGTAACCCAACACCAAGTGCTCCCCACATGCTGAAATTGTTTGTCTGAATCACTTGGACACGACTCCGGAAACTGGCGTCAATGTAGATATTCGGAGTGATGTGTACCCCAATGATCAACTACTGAATCGTAATCTCACAATGTCTGAGATCTACATGGTCGGCGGTTGGTGGATTACTGCAATTATGTTCTTTGAAGTGAAAGCTCAGTGAACGGCAGTAATCATTTAATTGAACGGCAAGCATCAAATGGCAGTCCAAAGCGTTATTATTGTTTAGCCAGCCCTTCTGCAGGTCGCTTCATGAAATTCCTAAAAAATGTTACGATGATGATAATAATAAAATTTCATGGCTATCCAACGTTTCATCTGATTTTTTAATGTATGTCCTTCTGGCATCAGAGCATACGTTAATCAGTTCTTGTGTGAGCCCTGAATCCCACCATCTGATTGTGCAATTCCAGGTGGACGGCAGAAGTTGGTGGCAAAAGTTTATAACGGTGCAATGCTAAACACGGTCCGTCCTGCCCTCTGACGTCACCTGACCCTTGGTGCGGCCGCTGCCACCAGCGGTGTGCCATGTCTGTCAAGGTCAAAAGCGAACGCCTAAAACGGCTTGAACCCAGCCCGTCATAGACGATGGATCGGAAGGCAGACATTCTAACCTCCTGAGCTATCGGGACAAAATTCGTCAGGCAAATCGTATATGAATGCAGATTACAGAAGGTGCACGTATCCTGGGAGGCATTTAAAATAACGACTGAATTCCCAGTCAGACAGCGTAGTACTAATGACAATTTGACGGACTGTGCATGAAAAGCCTGTTATACGTGAAACACCAACTATTTTAAAATACCGGGTTACGCTAAACGCGTAAGGCAGATATGGTTGCGCCACTTATTCAAGAGAAGCGTGTGTACCCTCAGCCTACATACAAAGGTGAATCAAGTCGACTTTGTTGTGGGAGAGTAAATGAGTGCCCGAGGGACCAATTTATCCATAAGGCAGGCAGTTCCGCGAAAGTATATTTTCCGTTGTGGTGTGGTGTAAGGGAAGACGATTCATAAACAGGTACTGTGGCAAGCGTCCCTTCTGCCTCACATACCAACAAGTAGTGATTCTGATCAATGACCATGCAGAAGAGCAGTCATACAGTCAGTTCCGTCAGTCATGCGGGTGGCGGCCATCACCGACGGGCAGCCGATCCAGGGAGGAGTCCGCTGGCGGCGGGCGGAAGCAGAGCTCGGAAGAGAATATCTCAAAGAAAGCTTTGCTCCTGTGTTCTGCTTTTTTACAGGAGAAATCTCGGTTTTTGTTTTGTTTTTGTCTTATTATTTTTCCTAGGTGGTATTGGAGGCTTTCGTTTGCTTTACTTAAATCAAAAGAAAACTTATCTCTTGGAAAACAGTTGGCGAATGCATATAGAAAACTTGGCGCACTATGGGCCATTGCTTCAAATTCAAAATTATGACCAGTTTAGGCCTCGCCGTATCTTGTCATCGAAACAGTGGAGACAGATTCCTGCCCTATAGGTGTCTATTTGTATTCCTTTGGGTGGGCAACTCCCCCCCCCCCCCCGCTCCCCTCCCTTCTCCCCGCCCCCCTCAATGTCCAATTTGCCCTTTCCCAACGGTGAGTTTGGCCACAAAACCTTCTGGCGCCGAAGTAAAGCAGGGTATGAACAATGAGAGATCAACGTTTTAAGATGGTACAGAGCTTGTGCAATGTAAGGCATGGCATGTATTAAAAGGGAATTAAGATGACCACCCTACAATAATTATATACGTGATGTTCGTTAATTTAGTTGCATTCTTATCGGAAATGGTTATAGCTTATCAAAATGGTAGTAGGTTAGTTGTATTGCTATCAAAAACACAACTTACTTAACGAATATCACGAATATAATTATTAGATGTCATCTTAATTCCTTTTTAAGAGGCCAACATATCAGTTATATAGCAGTTTTCTCTTAATTATGTCATATGTCAAGCATACAAGAAGATTAAATTGGAGTGTCACATTCAGATTATAATTTTCTGTTTTTTTCGGCATGATGCATAATTCTCGTTACACGATTGGTACATCTTGTTGACTTTGGCTTATTTTTGTGCTATTGTCTGATCTAATTAGCGATGTTTCATGTTCTACAGACTGCAGCAAGTTGCGTGACTTTGTTCCGAAATCATAAAATGAAAAACTGGTTGAAATTAGGACCCAAAAAACGCGACGCAGTTATTAGCCGTTTACATTTAGAAGAACGGTTGCAATGTACCGACCTCCACTCAGGCGTAAATATTTGATGGAGCAGTTAAGTAAACTTGACCATCGACATCAGCTGACTAAACCGATGGCGGCAATTGCCCGACAACATGCCTAGTGTTAGTGCTGAGTTGCAACCCGCCTTGCGGCCATCAGCCGGTGGTTTCCATAGCAGCCTGTAATATTTCCGCCTATCAACTTGCACTCTACTCCCGAGGCTGTACACGTTTGAGAACGTCCGAAGCCACATAACATCGACCTTCCGTCGATTACCGGAACCTGGTTCCAACGATTGACGCCAAGCAAATTGGTAGTGATGTCCAAGGTCAACATCTCCCACCAAGAAAGAGCGAGGAAACGTATTAGAGCTGGGATGTAGTTTCCTATTCGGTGGGGAGGGGAGGGTCACTCCAACTTCGTCACGTTCAGAGAAAAGTGGGTCAAATCCGGGAGAAACCTGTTATTATAGATTATATATATATATATATATATATATATATATATATATATATATATATATATATATATACTGATATGAATAAATTATAAATTATACATACATTAATATAAACAAATCATAAATCATATCTATATATATATATATATATATATATATATATATATATATATATATATATATATATATTTATATTTATATATATATACATATTATATAAAGTACACCCCTATAGGATGGAGACGGATTCACCACCATATTACTCCAGCCTCTGGTCTGGGGCACGGGCTCTTTTCCTATGCAGATATGAGTTCGGGCCCGCTATTTACATCGGCCGGGCCCCTGAGTCAATGAAGAGCCCCTGTGTCGGTCTGGGAATTGTATTGCCTGACAGGGGTCGGGTATTGTCAAGAGGCCCAAATCGGTCAGGGGTAGGGCTTGTGGGGTCCCGCAGAGGGTCCCGATGCGCCGCTCGGCACCGACGATGAAGCGTAAGATTAAAGGGCACGAAGAACCGACGATAGGTCACATTAAAGACCCCGACCCGCAGAGCTGGTCCCCCAAATATCAGTCACAGGGCCTCTTGCGTCGATTTGGAATACCCTGGAACAATGTGGGTTTCTTTCGGTCGGAGCACCAGCACCGAGCAATGATTCCGTGTCGGTCTGAGCCCTTGGGGCCCATTTTCCAAGCAAGGACAAGTTCGGAATCCGCAAGTTGTATTGGTTGGGACACCTGAAACAAAGCGTGTGCCTGCGTCGGTCAAGCCCTCACAGTGCCGAACTGAGGGTCCTATGTCAGCAATATTTTTTGTGTTAAGTAAGATTCTCAGTCACACAGGGGTTAGGCATGCCAAAGTACATCCATGACCCCATTTCGATCTTCAATCTACGTGAACTTTCATCTACGTTCACAATGTCTCTGCACAGCAAAAATTCTGGCAAAGCCCCTGAGTGTTATCATTCAGAAAGAGTACACTGAACAAGTACAAAATGAAGAGCGACGGTGTTTTCCCTACGTTATCATGTAAGGCCTTGTTCCTTTAGGTTATTGACTTTAAAATGCAAACGAAATGGTTGCATTTCGGTGCCCTCTGGCTTCTTTTAGTAAGAAGCGTTAATATCAAAACAAAACGGAGCAAAGCGTGCCCCTTGAAATCAAGTGGGTCATATCTGGTAATGTTTTGGGATGGGGGCCCTACACCAGGAGGGAGCCGTTCCCCGTCACCAAGATTCTGGCTGGGCATCTGTGTGTGTGAGCCCATTGTGCACCGAGTATAGGTATATCAGTGTAATCGCATGTGGCCACTGAAGAGCCAGCTCAATTAGCAACGCTTTTATACTTAAACTGTGTTGCACATGACATTGACATTAAATGGCTTCATTTGCCACACATTCGAACTAAAGCGGGTAGGGGTAACTTTCCCTTCAGAGGCGCAAAGGCTTGGAATAATACCTCTCCCCCCCCCCTCCCAGAAACACAGCAGGCTTGCAAAGCGTCTGTAAAGAAATGTGCGGGTAAAGACGTTCTTTACAGGAGAACATATAATTAAGCCATTTGAGGAGAGGCTGAAGACCATTTTCGTAAGTAGTGCATGGAGGAGTGTCTCTGTTTTGTTTTACGTTAGCTGAAATGCATACCCTTTATCGATGGAACTTCAGTTTATTGAGAACGTGCGTAAACGAGTTGTGATGGCCACATATGTTGTGAACACTATTTTTTTAATGCATAGATCAATACACCAAAAATCACTAAGCAAATCATGGCAAATTATACACGCGTTTCGCTTTTGGATGTGTGAGATAGAGACAATTTCACCCTTTCAGCTTTACAAAACATATGCGTTCGTAAGAAGCTGATGCGAACCGCCAGACTTTCATATGTGATTCCGGTGGTTACGCACACGAGCTTTAAAGAGCATGTAGTTATGAAAATATATTATACATATGTATGTATATTTATATGTATATATATATACATAACTATATATATACATATATATACACATAGCTATATATATATACATAACTATATATATATATGTATATATATATATATATACATAACTATAGATATATATATATATATATATATATATATATATATATGTATATTTATAGTAAATCCAAATAATAAATGGACAAATCCAAGAAGTTTTCGCTTTTATCCCCTTATGGCGAATTCCGAGACTTCGGCCCTCCAAATCATTTTGAGAAATCGACGACCATTTGCCCAATGACCCAAAATGCCTCCCCGCTCCTGCAATTTCGCCTCCCCAGGGAAAACAATGTTTAAACAGACGAATAACTTTAGGAAACTGGGTAGTCTTATTTACCAAATGGCATGGATCGGCCGAGTGGTAGAGATTTGCCGATTAGGTGAGATGGTGAAGAATCTGATGTTTCGGCTATTAAAAAAGGTGTTGACTATTTTCAGGCTTGTCTCACCGATAATTGTTAACAGAAACGACCAGCCCGGCTGAAGTTGCATCCCGCGGTGCGAAATCAACATATAATACACATTGAGCCTTCATTTAGACAGTGGCAAAAAACAGAAATGATATGCAAGCATCTGGTATGTATATATCACATTATTTGTGCCATTTTGGGCCCAAAGCTACCTTACCTTATATACAACTCCCCGATTCGCACCTCACCAAATCACTGAGCTCCAACTCATGCATATTTGCAAGGTACATGTCAAAGTTGACGTGGTAAAATGTCATGTCTATGCAGTTGGTCTTCCGAAGGTCACCGCGCGACGTGGATAATGTCAAACAACGGGTCGGCCGTGGCCGTGTCGGTTCGGTATTTAACAGAACAAACGTGGCGAAGTTTACCAGACCACATTATCTCACGTATTCGGGAGGTACACAAGTATATAATATATATATATATATATATATATATATATATATATTTCAGTGTTCATCAGTGTGCATTATCAGTACCCCACCCTCAGTTTATGACGCATTAGAGCTGAGAGCACTAAAACGCATGGGCAGACACGGAACGTAACCATGTACCTTCAGCCTTCCTTGCTTGCGGTGCATAACGACTAGCCGACTACTGTAAAAATTAAAGAAACTGTGCGTATATTTGCCGCTGTTCACATTTTGTCGTGGCAAACTCCACCTCCATTGCACCTGTCTCAACAGGAGCTTCACACCTTGGCAGCATTCATGTGTCGGACATTTTCCAAATGACAAATTGATCTTTGCAGCAGCTGTCTTGCGCAGTAGACCAGTCAAAAAGGTGCCTGATAGTCGACTTCACTGAAAGGCGCTCGGGTGGTACTCGTTGCCGAAACAGGGCACCGTGCAATGACTTTTGAAGAATGTCTTGACGGCAATGTCCAACGGGCTGCCTGCAACACAGCACGTATGTGAAACGAGCACCGGAACAACGAACTCAACAGTCAGCCGTCTGAGTAACGGCTGAGTGGCCAGTCGTCCTTCGTCGTCCATCACTGGCCGGCCCCGCTGCGCACCCTGACACTTGCTGCGACGCCCCATTCAACAACTGGAAGGCACGGCGTGGCGGGTGCCGACGTCAGTGCCTCGGGCGCACTGCCAGAGCTCCGACGCGCCTCCTCGCGCCGCCGGAGGGCAGCGATGCGCCGCGCGGCGGTGTCGCTGCTGGCGGTCCTGCTGGCGGCGTCGCCGGCCCTGCAGTGCCCCGCCTGCCGGTGTGTGCGCGACGTCGCGGTCCAGCTGGGCCTGGTCCGAGTCGTCGTCGAGCTGCCGCCGGAGACGAGCGGTGAGCAGGCTAGGCCCTCGGTGGGGATGTGTCGCCGGAGACGAGCGGTGAGCAGGCTAGGCCCTCGGCAGGGATGTGTCGCCGGAGACGAGCGGTGAGCAGGCTAGGCCCTCGGCGGGGATGTGTCGCAGGAGGTGAGCGGTGAGCAGGTCAGGTCCTCGATGGGGATGTGTCGCCGGAGACGAGCGGTGAGCACGCTAGGCCCTCGATGGGGATGTGTCGACGGAGGTGAGCGGTGAGCAGGTCAGGCCCTCGGTGGGGATGTGTCGACGGAGGCGAGCGGTGAGCAGGTCAGGCCCTCGGTGGGGATGTGTCGACGGAGGCGAGCGGTGAGCAGGTCAGGCGCTCGGGGAATGTGCCGTGTGCTGGGAGCATGACACGGAGAGGTGGGCACATGCGTGCCCTTATGAGCATACCCGCACTACAAACTGCATTGCATATAGCGGGAACTTATTTTGTCTGTTTCCTTGCAGGTGACATTCATCAACGAGTATCAGATCACCAAGCCTGGAGGCTTGCCGATTAATTTTGGCATGAAATGAATTGGCGTGTCACGATACCCGTATTTGAGTTCCATACCGTCCTAGCAGATTATGTGACAAACTATCTATACGCCAGACATGGGCGCGCAATGTTGGCTCCGCAAAATATGGACACGTAAAATAATGACGAAAACAGATCCACAAATCACCGGCACCCAAAATATCGGGGCTCAAAATATCCACACGGCAAAGCATGAGCTCAACTGATTGGGGCACAGGTGTCGTTACAACTGAGCAAAAGATGGTACGGTTACAGTTAAGGGTGTCACTTTTTAAAATTGATTGAGCGCGAGGCCCAGCCAATAAGGCTGACTCGACCTAGTGAAAAGTTTATTTTCTCCCGGATTCTGCCCCGTCATTTGCTTTCCCCTTGTCAAGGACCATTTTTTCATTGCTTGACATGATATTTACGGAAGGATGGCTCCTCATTTCAAGCCTATTCAAAAGTTGCAGCTTTGTGAGAATCTTAGAACTGGGATTATTTCACAGAGAACATGTTAGTAAAACGGTTTGATAAGACCATCTGAAGCAGATTTTGTTAGTCATTCGTGGCACGTTGTGCGAGACGCAAAGGGACTGTTTTATCCAGGAAGACGTAGCCTAACATATCGGACCCGAAAAGAATGTGCATATGTTACATTTTCCGTAGAGGGGCCACGGAAAATGTGTCAAGCTCACGGCCAAGGAGTACCTGCAAAAGTGGAAGTGAATTCGCAAAATGTCAGCAGAGTATCGCATTTTTGATGACGGGACGCGAGCATCTGAATGACTGGAATGCCCGTGATGTTCGTGCAGTTTCCTTGAGCCCTGACGCTCAGGGCTTTCGCCTTAAACTTAAAAGCTGTTGTATATCCCAATAGATTGTTAGTTATTCCGCTCCAGGTGACAGCAGAAAAGAAATGCGGGCTTGCCTGCATGCAGGGTTTAGATGCAGGCTGGCTTAACGTATAAAGGGGTTGGAATAACATGAACACACATGAAACTACACGACCTTTGTGAATGATACCTACAGGATACTAAGTGATACAGAATAAACTCTAAGCTAATTGTGATGTATTTAGGCTACCTAGCGTACCCGTATTTCGGAGCGATTTTCTGCCAGTAGCCCTGTTTTGACCATGTTCATTGGCGGTCGGAGTTGAGGAACATTGAGGGGGCTCAAGTCAGCAAGGTGGGTCCCCCAAAAGCATATTAGGTGATGCACCTGGTTACGGTCACCAAAACACTGTGATAACTGATATCGTTGGTATGTTTGATATATCTCTCGCCGTATCCACTGATCCAACAAAAAGAAGCTGATTTAAAACACCAGTTTTGACACGTGTAAAAAATTGTCTCAAATGCTGTGAATGTCGATTTTTGCAACCGTTCAATGTGAGGAAAGCCTCATGGAAATTTGGATTTTTATATTTCCTGTCTCAGTGCGGGCAAAGCAAGACTGTTGAATCTGGCTGTATCGGCACAAGGCATTGCAGTCTAACAATGGAGTCAAAAATAATGCAGCTGTTTTTAGTGGGTGCGCCACCCAAGAAACGATTTTACAGCTTTCCAGGACAGCATATATGTACCTACGATCAACGATACCAGGGCCATGTGCAAAATACCAGATCTCAACCGCAGGGGAGGTGCCTCAGATATTGAGCTGGGGAGGGGCATGATTTTTCACAGGGCCTCTTGGACAAAATGGGGTCCCCTCACTGGAGAGCTTCGTGGGGAGTGTTGCATCCAAGGGAGAGGAGCACCAGAGTATGCACTCCCTTACCAAATTGTGGCATGCTTCAATATACATGTCAAAAAGGTTGACAAATGTGTTTTAGAATAGGCACCATCTCGCCAATTTAAGGGCGCTTTTGCTCAAAGAAAAGGGCCTCCCTATCCGGAAACAGGGCTTCCTGTTCCAGAAAAGGTCCCTCTGGTGCGCAATACAAAGAGGGACATCCTGATCCAAAACAGGATTTGTCCGATTCATGAAGGGCCTCCAAGTTCAGCAAATGGCCTCGTTATCCCAAAGCATTATGGAAGTTTCTTTCCGGAAAGATGGTTATGTGAAACCCAGCCCATAGCCAGGTGGGTGCACTGGGTGTCCGCACATTCCCTGCGACCTGGGGATGCACCCTAGGCGCGTTCCGGACAAACCTACGCTTAAGGTATAGGGAATGTACGATGGTTGAGTGGAACTCTTCCTCACGTTGTGATCTGCAACGACTGCAACGGAAAAGTATTGGAGTCAGCACTTGACTCACGCCAAGTTATTTTTAGCAATCTCAAACCCTCTATTATTTGCGCAGCAGGTTGTTGAGGATTGGCAAAGCTTTATGTTGACAGACGCTTCCTTTATACCTTAAAATGCTTCTAGATCTCCTGAACACCTGGCGATGTTGGAACGGTTAGAGCTAAAGTAGTGGCGGTCGAATGTTCCGCGGTATGCACGTGCGTGAGGAATACACATGGCAATGTTTAAAGGTGCAAAGCACCTTAAAAACTGTGGTCATTTTGATAATGTTCATAGTGCAAAGGACATTCAAAACATCAAATAATGGATTTTTTAGGGTGATTTCTACCTGTTTTGCTACTTTTTCGACAGTTATGAAAAGGGGTGCACGACCGCAGGAAACTACGTGTTAGAACAAGCTGTTGGCACCCATATGGCTTGGGCGACGGTTTAGATTTGTACGGATTTTGGGAAAATGATGAGTAATGACACCAACATGGGTGAGACGTTTGAGAAATGTCATATAGATACCCCCAATAAATGCTTAACAATTTTAATGTTTGTGTACCTTTTTGTCATTTTCATTCCCATGCATTCCCACTGTTTTTGAAATTATCAACCCAAAACAGTAAGTTTGGGTGCGAGTTGAATGCAAGTTTTCATCGCAGTTTTGAGATTTAGTCCGATTGCTTTCATCAGATGATATCTGATATCGGTGTCTGCGCTAAGCAGTGCTTGTCGCGTGAGCATTTACCCCCGCCGTCCTATCGTAATATTCCGGGTTTTTTTAATTTACAAAAAAAAAAATATTTTCAAAAATGTTCTGGCCAGAACTGTCTGTGTAACAATAGCAGGCACGGCTCGTTCTGAGCTCTAACGTCACCAGAACTTGAGCGCGGCTGCTGTCACATCCCGCAGGACATCCCAATCAGATGCCAACGGCAACTGCCAAAAGCAGCTCGAACTCAGCCCGCTGCGGGCGCGTGAATCAGAGGTCGGACGCTTACTGAGCTGTCGAGACGGACGGAAACTTTCCAAAGCAACTCAAACTCATCCCGCCGCGACTGAGTGAATTAGAGGTCGGACGCTTACTGAGCTATCGGGACGGACGGAAACTTTCCTGTAACTTTTCCATAG